GAATCTGAAGAAGGGCCTAGGCCCGAAACGTCAGCCTTCCTGCTCCTCTGATGCTGCTTGGCCTGCTGTGTTCATCCAGCTCTACACCTTGTTATCTCAGTTAGGAGTGAAATGTTTTAGATCACGTGGGTTAGAAACGATCACATAGGTGCTCCTAAATGCCCTAAAGATATTCCTCTGTTTCCCAAAGAGCACCAAACTGGCCATTCAGCTCATCTTGAGTGTGTCAACTCTTTAAGAAACCTATCCATTTCATGTCACTCAATTCTCTTTCCCTGATCCAAGCTCTTTTATTCCTTTTCAAGGAACTATGGCTTGCATTGCCCTTTCTTGCTATGTATTTCACGAGAGACTCTCATAGCATGCTCTCAGTGATGCTGACTGCCTGTCTCAGGATCCTCACCTGATCTGATGAAGGATCACTGGACTCTAAATGTCAACCAGAGTCCTCACCCACTCCTCATGACAAACCCTTCATCCTCAGGATCATTCTTGTAAACATCCACTGGACCCCTCCAAATCTAGCAGAGCCATCCTTAGAAACAAGGCCCAAACTGCTCATAATATTCCAAATGCAGTCTGACCAGAGCCTCATACAGCCTTAGCACTACATCCCTTAGCTCTTGTATTCCAGCCTTCTCAAAATGAATGGTATCATTGCTTTGGTACCTGCCATCTAAACCTGCACGTTAACCTTAAGAAAATCCCGAACTCACTCTCAAGTCCCTTTGTGCTTCAGATTTCCGAAGCTTTTCCCTGTTTAGAAAATAGTTTTCTCTCCACTGATACTTCCAGATCTGCTGAGTTTCTCCACAATTTCCTTTTTTTGTTCTTTTATTTCAAAAATATACTTTCTTTGTAAAAAATATCTTTGTATATAGAACATAGAACATAGAACAATACGGCACAGTACAGGCCCTTCGGCCCACGATGTTGTGCCGAACTTTTACCCTAATCCTAAGGTCTATTGAACCTCCACCCCTACCTTATACTATCATCCATATGCCTATCTAATAGCCATTTAAATGCCCCTAATGAGGCTGACTCCACTACCCTCTCCAGCAATGCATTCCATGCCCCAACCACTCTCTGAGCAAAGAACCTACACAAATGCAGTTCGGTTTTGTACAGTAGCATATCAAGGAAATAAACAAACATTGGAGTTTAACTCTACCCAAACAAACCAAAAGCATCTTGTACTTGAACCAGATTATATTTACATGCATTGAGGCACAAGGAGGGCCCAATAACTATACAGACCCCCATTTAACTTCAGCAGAAAGACCTTAGATGGTGCTCTTTCCCCACTGTGCTTTCATGGCAGCTGCCCCAAGCTTTAGCATGTCCCTCAGCACGTTGTCCTGGACCTTGGAACGTGCCAGTCTGCAACACTTGGTCAGGGTCCACTCCATGTTCTGGAAGATCAACAAGTTTCGGGTAGACCAAAGAGTGTTTTTCACCGAGTTGATGGTCCTCCAGTCGCAGTCGATGTTTGCCTCGGTGTGCATCATGAAGAACAGATTGTAGAGCACAGAGTCCCGTGTCACAGTGCTGCTCAGGACGAACCTCAACAAAATTCCACTACATCTCTCTCCACACTTCATTTGCAAAGGCACACACCAGCAGGAGATATGTGGCAGTCTCAACAACACCCCCCTCACCCACCTTCCCCACCCCCTGCAGCCACTTCGAGGGCAGCGTGCGGTGGCACAGACTCACCAGGTGTGTGTGAAGGATCTCACAGGTAGTGCCCTTCTCATCTCCGATGACTTGGTGCTTGTTGGAAAGTCCTGGTGATGAGACACTCTGCTAAAGGAGTTCGACAGTCTCCTCAGGGAACCACGCGACAGGAATGACCCTCACCTTTTCCCCCAGGGTCTGGAGAATGCTAGGTGCTGCCCACTTCCTGACGGGCTTGTGGTCAGAGATGTTTTCTCAGTGATACTGACTGACTGCCCAATTCAGGGTCTTCACCTCAGCCAGCTCCTCTCAGTAATTGAACAGCCTGTCCATGGCGTCCTGCTCTTCAAAGGAAACTCCGTGACAGACTGACAGAACGAAACAGACTAATCTCTCTCAGTCTGGCTCTTTGTCTCCCTGGATCTCTCCTAACACACACACACCCTTCACTTAAAACACGGGGCTCCAACTGGGTCATGACCTCAATGCAGAATGTTGAACACCATTATCAAAACACATCAGATACAAAAAAAAAGACTCGGTAAACAAAACTCTATTCCTATCACGATTCGTTTTGCAACTGAACCACGGCATCTATTGAAATAGATTTCTTGAGGGGGAAAAAGGTGACAGAAACATTCAAAATAAATATTATGTTTTATCTCCCTGTCTCCAAAAGAGCAAACAATCAAGTAGGTTAAACATTCATTTAAGAGTAGCAAAAACTATAGCGAAATTTACGAAGTTAACACATTTCAGGGAACACACTGAAATTGACAAACAGCAAGGCGGTGAAAAAAAAATCCTTCTGGTTTGCGAATCGCGTTCATTGTTTTGTCTTGTACCCTTTGTCTGTCCGTGTCTTACCTCTTCCGTTTGGGATCTGACTGTGTCAATCTCTACACTAACTCAGGACTCTGTACTCGCGTTTTGCAGCCAGTGCTGTTTATAAATATGGTCAGAGGAGATGTCATGTCTTTACACAGACCGCCCCCTGCTTCTCTGGAGTAAATGATCACTATTTAAACACTTCCTGGAGGAAGTAAGACCTGGACTGACGAATTGACGCTCAGCTTTTTAAAAAAACGACGTGGAAGGATTTGAGAGCGACCTATAATGGGATTTTGTTTCTCTCGCCCTCTCGTCGCACGATTTCTGCCCCCTTTACCCCCACTCCTCATTTAATTTCTCCCCCTTTTAGCTACCTTGAGCTCCAAATTCCTTTCAATGCACAATCTTGCTCTGCATCTTAACATTTCTAACCTGGGCCTGCTGCAAACTCGGCGCAAATTTGAGGAAAGGCATCTCACTCTCCAGTTCTGCACCTTGCAGCCCTCAGGTCTCAACGGTGTGTTGAACAACTGTAGACCTCAGACACCAGCCTCCACATCGATTGCCCCTCTGTCCTCCCACCTGTCCCGTTTTCCCAACGTCTTTGCATGAGTTTGCCTCCAGCAGAGCTGAACAATTCTCTACCACTAACATCTAACATTGACCTGTATAATTTCTGTAACTACCATTAGCACTCTATTTGCCTTTTGCTCTGGATATCCTTACTATCTTGTTCTACTTACTCCTCCCCCGATTATTGGAGAAAGAGAAAAAAAATCATTTTTTTCAGGCCCTTTCAGTTCTGAAGTAGAGTCATGTTGGATTTGAAATTTTAACTCTCTTTTCTTCTCCACAGATGCTGCCAGAACTGCTGAGCTTTTTCAGTACTTACTGTTTGTATTTCAAACCTAAAATTTATCTCTCTGAGATAACAAGGTGTAGAGCTGGAGGAACACAGCAGGCCAAGCAGCATCAGAGGAGCAGGAAAGCTGACGTT